TACTTATCCTAAAAATCGGCGATTGGCGAAAACCTGTAACGTGACGAAAGGTATAAACAGGGGTAACGACGGAAGAAGGGGTCGGTTCGTCATCAACGTTCGTGATAGTTAACCCGCTTCGACGCCAATCCTCTAACCCGACATCGCCTATCTTCTTCGCCAACCGTAATCTCGGAGAACCTGTGCCGACCCGCATCGACACCGTTTTTGCCTAAGACAACTGGTCCGATCTGTTTAGAAACATCTGACAGTCCAATAAACACTCGTAGAGGTATGACACCCGTTATTGTAAACTCTCTCTCGTTGCGGTACGCTCGCGATATCTCCTATGTAGCTAGGTTATCTAAGTTATGTCCAATAAATTCTTGTTTTTGTTGTTAACTGGTGTTTTTAATTCGGGTATCGCCAACGTCTTACCGACGACCCCTCTCACCTCCTCCACTCGACCTGACTAAAGAATCCCGACTTTCCAGGATAGAAAAAAACATTGTAAAAGCCATCCACTGACCAGTGGGCAGTTCTTACCAAACTGTTGCCTATCAAAAAGAGATACGACTTCGTCCTACCTCCGGCTACCCACAAATTGGTTTTTCAGGAGTGGGGTTCGACTTTTTCGAACTATCGGTAAAGCGGAAAAAGGCAATATTCGAGTTGAAAGGTCGATTTTAGTCGAGTTAGGGACTGATAGGTTAGGAGAATTGTTAGAACAGTTATAAGAAGTAGATTTAAGACTAGGAGAGATAATGGAGGACGATCCCCAACCTGCGGCTGCGGCAGAAAACCCTAATCCTAATCCAAATTCAAATCCTACTCCAAATCCAAGCCCAATTACCTTGGGAGGTCCGGGAGGAATAATTTCCTTATTGCCAGTATTCTCGGGAGAAGCGGGAGGTCTCCGAGTAACTGACTTTTTTGACTCATTGACAGATGTGACAAAAGTAGCGGCATGGTCCAAAGCGCAAATATTAGCTGTAGCCAAGATAAAACTTACTTACCGGTATAGCTCGGGAATTTGTACGAAAAGACCGTAGGATTAAGCAACGACGTAGTCGAACGGTGCACACTCGGTAAGTAATCTTACAATTTTTTGTTTACAGCATAATATGGATTATTCCCAAAAAAATATACATACTTTGGAAATGTTGAGTCGAATTAGTCTAGAATCGATTAATTTTATGGAAGAAACCTTTCAAACAGCCGTAGTCCGTAAACTGCATACGTACCGGGCTATGATTGGCTGGACTCGTAAGAAATGGATTCATAAAACAGGAACATATCTACCGTGTTATAGGGGGTCGACTGTATTTAAAAAATTTTAATGTTTATAGAGAAAAGTTTAAACTTTCGTAACATGATTTGCCAAGTTTCTCGTGTTGGCATAACTTTTCACCAAATTTTCTAAAGCATACTTACGATCGTATTTTGAGTTAGAGTAAACGTCAGATCTAGAGTTTGTAAGATATTGGCATTCACAAAGTCGAGAAACCCTAACAGATTAATTTAACTCTGACTCGAGAAGCTTGATAGTTTAGAGTTAAAATAGAGAGTTGAGGCTTTACAATTGCGCTCTTGTTTTAAAATGGCGACCTACAGTAGCGATGACAAGGGAAATTGATAAAAATTTAGAATAATTTGAAATATTTGCAATACTTTAAACGTCTATGTCGTGATTTCCGTATAGGAAAAAGTAATAGTAACAGAAGAAATAATTTGGAACAATTATATGAATGTGAATTTATTTCTCGATGCTGTATAAAAAAGATACAGAAAGATGTTTATTAGGTCAATTTAGTAAAAAACATTAACCACAACTTTCATGAAAAATATCATGACATCTCTAGAACACATTCTTATAGCTTTGCTTATGCTTTACTACTAATTCTAGTAGTAATTCTTTCTCGAAAGTGCTGAAGTTACAACATACGTTAATATCCATATGTTTCCGCCATTTTCTTTACACGTGTTTTCTTGCAACCAATTAAGACGCAACTTACATAAGTTTACTTATTTAATCTCGAACGCATGATTGATTTAAAACATTAGCTCTAGGGTTTCGCTACTTTAGAGTCATGCTTTTATCTGAATACGGAAGACGGATAACAGGAGTTTGTCAACTTTATATTTAACTCACTCTACAGAATATGGCTGTCAGTGTTTCCTTTTTCGTTTTAGTTTTCGATGTTAACGTGGATAAACATGCTGGTACAGTTCTATCTATCTATGTAGGTTCTCCGAGCCGGAGGTTGCTAACAACCGATCGCCACTCCTCACGATCTCTAGCAGTATAAATTAGTAATGTTTACTAAATATCTCTATATATTTTGTATTATGCCTTATCAATTTTTTTCGTGTCTAGTGTCTATATTTGAAAATATTTCAATACAGTCAAACCTCCGGTCACGAACGCCCCTGTTTATGAACAAAATTTTGTACGCCATATTGCTCTAGTTTCCGTACGATAACTCGGTTTGCGAACAAGCTACTCAACTAGATTCGGCTACATACGATCAACTCCCTATATTTCCTATATTCAAGAAAGTCAACGGCTTGACCAATCATCGACGAGACTACCGATTCGAAAGTTAGCGGCGCCGTGATCACCTAGTTTCATTAGACGTCACAACGTAGGGTGATGAAGTTGTTATTCAAATTAAATTTTAATTCAATAGGAACGAATAAAATATGTAAACCGAAGATTAATTGTATATTTATAATCACAGTTATAAATTACATAATTTACGGCATTAATTAAAACTGACTGATGTCAACTGTGTTCAAATTATTCATCTTCAAGGAGAACTTGACGTTGGTTTTGGCAATATTGTTTTTCCTTCTAAGGTATTTCTGGATGCTTAACTGGCAACATGACAACGTTATTAGAAGCTATTTGAAGTCTTGTATCAATTGGATGATTAATCATTACAGATATAAATGAAATACAATACCTACTTACTTCCAGAGCTCAAAAGAGGACTCAGTAGGAAAGCTTCATCAAGCATTCGTTCTGGTGCTGTAAGTGAACAATCTGCAGCCAGTGAATTATTATAAGAGAGATACCATATGTGCCTTCGGAAGTTATTACAAGACAGGAAAGTTTTATAAAAAATGTCTTCTTTGTGTTTTAGCTACACACAAAATTCTGATTTGTACTAAGTTACATGAATTACGAAAAATCAGAATTTTATTGTTACAGTTCACTTAGACGATTGTTTTGCTTAACATTTTAAATACTAGTTTTGTTATATTTTATAGCATTTTTATGCGATATAGTCATGCGCATAAACCACGGTTTGTTTTTAATAACCGGTTACCTAGATTAAAAATTACATATCAAAGTACGCTGCTGAATAAGAAGACAAATATTTTCTAAACGAGAAATAAAACAATCGAAGAAACACAATGCATCCACTATAAAAACTTGGCAATTAACTATATAGGGGAGATCGGGGCAACTTCGGCATGCGGGGCAAGTTTGTCAAGCCCTTTTTTTAAAAAACAAATTAAAAGGAGACTTTGGTTATAGGTTAGGCAGTTGAGTTTTATTGGTGGCTTGTTGAGTGTAGTGTTTTTATTGTTCTCCAACAAGCGTAGTTGAATTATCAAGCAAATTTTCATTTTCGTTCAATTCCATATAATATTTTTTTTCCATTTATATTGAATTGGCAGGTTTTGTTATAATTCCATGATAACGAAAGTTACTTTTCCTGTTAGAA